GCGGGGTCCCTTTGGGGCCTCTCCGCGACCGCACACCGCGTCCGGTCCCCTCCGGCCAGCAGCAAGCCTCCCGACCTCTCCTGGCTCGGGCTCGGAGTCAGGCCGACTTGGGAGGCGGCCATCGTAAGGAGCCTGCTACTTTTTAGGCTCTGAGGTTCACGGATCCTGCTTAGGGTTTTCTGCTGTCGAATGAAGACCTATGCCAGACCTGGTGATGCAGCCTGTAATCCCAGCGCTCTGGGAGGCTGAGGCTGGAGGCGATGATCGCAGATTCTAGCCCAGACTGCAATTTAGCAAGACCTTGTGTCAGAATTTAAAAAGGGCTGAGGATGTAGGTCAGAGTGAAAGCTGTGGGTTCTCGATTAGCCAGGAAAAAAAATGTATAGTGTTTGTGTCTCTACTCTTTATTAAGTAGAAAGAATCAACCCACACAGACATGCTCGTATTCCCGAAGAAAAGCTCCAGGCCTGTAGAATTACAAATTCCTCTCTGCTTGGACTTTTTTTTTATTGGCCAGTTAATTTCTCTGGCTCTTTGAAGAATCATTTGCAACCTAGAACGTTGTGGTTTTTCCCTTCTTCTGTACGGTACTTTTTTTTGGGGGGGTAGGGTGTGTGTGTGTGTGTGTGTGTGTGTGTGTGTGTGGTTTTAACTAATTCTCTCAAAAGCATCAGGGTATGGGATTTGAATTCGGTGACTACTTACAAATACTCTTCTCCTTCCTTCCTATTTGTGATTGAAAGTGCAGTGGCCGCTTCCTAGTGAAGGAAAAGGACCGGAATGTTATCGGTTGCTGGGTGAGAATGGACACCCGCCCGGCATTCTGTGGAAGCACCCGTCCTTAGTGTTCTTTCCTTGAGTGCAAAATTTAATTTGGATTTTCTGGAATACAATATTTTGGCTAATCCATGGTTTTCTAGTTGTCTAGTTCTTTCCTATTAGGCAGTGTTGTGGATAAGCACATAATAAGTCTTTCTACAAAACTAAAAAAAACGTGGAAAGAGAAAAGGATTTCTTCTCTTGTTTGAGAGTTTGACCATTTCCAAATTGTCATCGTATAAATTGTTTTGAAAGATTATAGTGTTTTAGACAAAATTTAGTTTGGGGGAGAACATACCATGCAGCTACAGTAAGGCTTGAAACAGTTCAGCAAAATTACCTTTCAAGATGTGGAGGAAGACTTGTGGAATATGAAACCACGATTGCTTCGTATGGCTTGTTGGTGTGTTTATTGAGCTTGTTAGAGTGCAAGGAAAATTTAATCAGATGGGAGGGGTGATGGGTGAGGAAGAGGTGCTGAGGAATATAGAAATTTCAGAGCGAGACTGGAGTGAGTTTAAGGAAACTGGGCCAGACCTTTATACTCTCCGTAATTAAAAGGTAAAGCTTATTGTGATTTAAATTGGTTTGTTTTGAATAGTATTTAAAGGTGTCTCTCTAGGTTCTGTTGTGGTCCTCAGTTCTCTTGCCTTCCCTGGTATAAACTGAGCACCTGATCCAGCACAGATTTACTTATTTACTAGTGCTTCTAGGTTGGCACTATTTCCAAAATGGAGGATAGGAAATGCTCTAAAGTGCCAGCATTCCTTTTTGTTTCTTGCCCTCACAAACCTTTGTTGGTTTTAACTTGTGCTGTAACAATTCTGCTTCCTCTTTGTGATGCAAATCAACCATTGACTACTGAGCGCAAACTTGTACTTTCTGAAGGTTAAAATGTTCAAGTTAGACACTTGGAAACTTTATGTTGAAGTACTTCTGTTTCTTTTCTTTTTCTTTTTTTCTTTTTTTTTTTTTTTTTGTTTGTTTTTTGAGACAGGGTCTCACTATGTAGTTGAGTGACCAGGAGCTCACTATATAGCGCAGGCTGCTCTTGAACGCAGTGATCCTCCTGCCTCAGCCTCCTGAGTGCTGGGATTTCAGGCATGCGCCACCATGCCTGGCTATGTTGAAGTACTTCTAAAGGCTTGTAAAGCCTGCTCTTTCAGGAGAAAAATGTTGTAAGCTTTACAATCAAGAACATTTAAGGCCTGGCCAGGGCATGCATTTTTGCAGTCAGTGCTTAAGGGAACCTGAGGCAGAGGATCTCCAAGTCCAAATTCTGCCTGAGTGACATAGCAAGACCCTGTCTCAAAATAAAAAATATCTAGGGATTTGGCTCTGTGGTAGAACACCTTGGCTTTTGTACTCTGGGCAGTTCAACTAAGTAAATAAATATTATCTCTAAGTGGATTATATTGCATTGTCAAGACTGAGAATGCTACAGTTTGATATATTGGCTTGGTCTGTATCATTCTGTGGAAAAGGGTAATGATTTGGTCTGGGGCCTGGGGCTCTGATGGAGGGGAACATTTTCATGTTCAGAATGCTTTCATTGGCAGTGTTCATGGTACCTGAGAGATTGCTCTTAGCTGTTGGTGAGACAGAAAAGTAAAGGGTAGGCAAGCTGTAAGGGGTGTTTGGTAGAGTTACTGATTAGCACACTTAGGGAGCTTCAAGTCCCAGTTTGGTGTCTGTACAGCATCTTAGGTCACCACCAATGTACACGTTTATTTCTGACAGTGGACCCTGGAACATGTCATCACTTTCTTAAATTTTCAGTTTAGTTCTTTGCTCTGGAATTAATATGACTTGTTTGCTATTTAGGTCAAGTTCACTGCTGAATCTATTGTGAAGGTGATCTAGGCCTCTTTTTTGTTTTTGTCCCTTAGTTTTATCGGGAGCTTTTGGTTTTTGAGACAGGCCCAGGCTGGTCTCAAACTTGGTGATCCTCCTGCTTCATTCTGCGAAGCCCTTAGATTGCAGGTGCAGGACACCACGCTTAGCTGTAACAGGTGGCCCTTATTGGGAATGGTGGCACAGGATGCTCATTCCAACTACTTAGAAGGCTGAGACAAGGATAGAAAGTTGACGAGCAGCCTAAATTAAGTTTTTTTTAAAAAAAAAAGACCATAAAATTAGTCTTTTCTAATCCTGCCCCTGATTTTACTGCCTGTTTCTCTCATCTCATCCCCCTGGAAGCAACTTAATTCCCTCTGCTAGGCAGCAGTTATTACTCATTTGAATTGCTTTTTTCATCTTGGTAAGATTGAGATACTTTTTTTCAGAGTGGTAGAGCACTTGTCTACCCACTCAGGGTCTTAGGTTCATCCCTGGAACTGGGGAAGAAAACGGTTTAACTGTATTTCACAGTAAAGAGGTAAACTTACCTGTTTCTATATAACTTTCACTTAAGTAATGTCATGGTGGAAAAAAATTTATCTGAGGAAAAAGAATAAAAGTTGCCTGTAATTTCTTTACCCATAGATTATAGAAAAACCTACATTATAGGTTATAGATTATTTTAAAAAACTATTGTTTAGATTTTAGTGTGTTGTATACTTTTTTTTTTTTTTTTGCAAAATGGGATTGTATTTAGTAAAGCTTACCACATTTTGAAACTGGAAAGAGGTTAATTTCATTCTTATTTGAAATCTAGGATTTTACGGAAGACCCTGGGTTATGGAACAGAGAAAAGAACTTTTTAGAAGGTAAATTTTTATTATATGAAGCATACTAGAAGTCATAACATTTCATTTTAGAGAAATACCGACACTGAGTATCCCTGGTACAAGTTGATGATTTCTCAGTTACAGAACTTACTTTACTTTGGTCCTTACCTGGTCTTCACCCAAGCCAATAGTTTTCAGACCTTTCCTGGGAGAGCTTTGAGTAGCTTTTGGGTTTCATCTGTCACACCCAGAGTTGTGTTTTTATTCCATATCAGTATGTTGACATGTAGTACTTAATTTTCTTCCACTGATTACTGGTTTAAAAGCTACTGTTCTAGAATATTAACTAGTTTTATATAAAATGGAGATGGTCAAAAAAGGAAGAAAATTGAGATTTATAAGCTATTAATGTTGACTTTTTATATATAAATAATTTTTTTCCTTTTAAGGCTCCAAAAATGGGAATTAAATACATACTTGTATGCACCAAAAGATGACTACAAACATAGGATGTTTTGGCGGGAGATGTATTCGGTGGAGGAAGCTGGTAATCTTTTTCTTCTTAAAGCATAAACTCAGTATGTGAAGAAAACAGCTATATTGTAGAGTAGTTTACTATAATGTCATTATTTTATTTTCACTTCATATATGTAATTTCTGTTTATCTGGTAACTACAGTAGTCTGCGTGAGCTGCTATAGACTGGAAGACTGGCACTAGTAAAGTCACGGCCAAAGTACGGGTCGTGGCTGTGCCAGTCTGACTTCACTTGGTCTGTGGCCGTAGACTACTGTGCTACTTCCGCCAGTGGTGATCTGCATAGTGGCCACTTGGAAAGTGTTGCTTCAGCCAAGGATAGGGTGAAGCAACTGAAGCACCTGGCTTGAGTGTAAACGTTAAGGCACTCAAATCAATAGTCAAGATAAATAAATATTTTGAGTTGGTCATGGTTTTGACACCTCTAATCCCACCAGTCTGGGTGGTTGAGGCAGGAGGATTGTAAATCGAGTGCAACCTGATCAATTTAGTGTGCGTCTGGCAATTTTTTTAATTTTTAAATTTTTATTAGTACATGTTTAGTGTTTCAATGTATTTAGAAAAATTGTATCATAAAGACTTGCTGGGCATGGTGACACACATGTGTAATCAGCATTCAGAAGGCTGAGGCAGGATTATCACCAGAAGTTCAAGGCCAGCATGAACTACATAGGGAGATCCTGTCTCAAAAAAAAAAAAAAAAAATTAAAATCTGTAGTAAATATTTTTTCTGTAGATACAAAGATGAAGGTTTAGGATTATTTTAGTCATAACTTAATCCTAGTTCTTATAAAAACACTTTTAAAAAATTTAATTATAAACTTATGTGGTTTTTTTTTTTTTTTTTTTTTTTTTTTTACTTACTGGGAATAAAATTTTTTTTTTTTTTTTTTTTTTTTTTTTTGACGTACTGGGAATCAAACTCAAGACCTCAAGCTTGCAAGGCAGGCATAGTGCCACTGAGTAAATCCTGTTTTGTTTTGTTTTTTGTGACAGGGTCTTGCTATGTAAATCATCCTGGAACTGGTTGGTGGCAGTTCTCCTGCTGTGTCACCACCATGCCCAGCCCTTGTACTTTGGGAAAAAAAGGAAATAAAATAAAAGGGTACTTTATTAATATTTTGCTTGTTTCCTAGAAAAGGACAAGAAACTGTTTGGAAGTGAGAAGGTCCTCTTGTTTTCTTTTGGTTCAAATAAAAAAATGTGAAACTTAGGGCCCGGGATTTAGCTCAGTGGTTCTGCTGCCTGCCTCTCAAGTACAAGGACCCGAGTTCAATCCCTGGTACCACCCCCATGTGAAACTTGTTCTTTTGCTATAACTTTAGGTCACTTCAGGCTTGTATGGCTTGTTGTCACATTAGACATAATTTTGTGAAATTTAAGGAACTTTTTCTTTCTTACAAAGTTGGAAGAAATAATCTCTTTAATTGGAAAGTGAAGGTTCTTTCAATTTTCTGTGCTGCTTTCTAAAAACATGGACTCTTCTTTAGAGCAACTTATGACTCTCATCTCTGCTGCACGAGAATATGAAATAGAGTTCGTCTATGCTATCTCACCTGGACTGGATATCACTTTTTCCAATCCTAAGGAAGTATCTACATTGAAGCGCAAACTGGACCAGGTAGCTCCTTATTTTTAAATTATTTTTCCTGACTCAGTGCTTACAATGAATAATTTTCTAAGTTGCTTTTATGATAAAAATAGAATCCCCACATTTTTCTGTAGGAATTATTTAATGTTTTTGTGTAGAAATGTACTTTTCAAAGTGTTAGTAGTACCCTGGTACTTGTTAATTGCTTCCATGAGGTTCAGTGAATAACAAGAGACAAGTACCAAAGCAGTTGTGGGGTTTTTTGTGTTTTTGTTTAGTTTTGTTTTGATTTTTTGAGACAGGGTCTCACTATGTAGTTGAGACTGGCCTGGAACTCACTGTGTAGCCCAGGCTGGTCTCGAATTTACAGCGATCCTCCTGCCTCAGCCTCCCGAGTGCGGGTATTACAGGTGTGTGCCACCACTCCCGGCCTCAAAGCAGTTGTTCTGACTAAAAAGCTCTAGCAGGTCTGGAGGGGAGTCAGCATTGTTAATTGTGACTGTAGCTAGGTGTAGTGGTGCATGCCTGTGATCTCTGGATGCTTAGTCAGGAGGGTTGCTACAAGTTTGAGGCTAGTTTTTTGAACATAGCGAGACTCTGCCTCAAAACAAAAAACCATTAAGTACCAAATGTGATGAGTGTCAGAGCAGTTGAGTACCAGTATATGATTGAATCAAAAGAGGTACAGTTGATTCTCAATTTAAGAGCTGCCTTCAGCCCAGTACAGTGACTCTTGTCTGTAATCCAGCACTCTTGAGGGACTGAGGTAGGAAGATTGTGAGTTTAGGCCCAGCCTGGGCAACTTAGGGACTAAGTGCAACCCTGCCTCAAAATTTTAAAAAAGGGCTTAGGGGATCTAGCTCAGTGGTGCTGCTGCCTGCCTTGCCTTGCAAGTGCAAGGTCCTGAGTTCAGTCCCTGATACCAAAAAAAGGGACTCAGGATGTGTATAAGTCAGTGTAAACGCCCTGGGTTCAATCCCCAGCACTGCAGCGGGGGGGAAATGTTAAAGGCCAGTGTAGGCAATCTAGTAAGACCCTGTCTCCAAATAAAAAGGGCTGAAGATGTAACTCAGTGAAAAGTGTCCCTGGGTTCTATCTCCAGGACTGAAAGAAAAAAAATCCTAATCACTAGGTTCCATTCTTTTGGGGTATTTTGAGACAACACCAGCACCTTGCTGTGTAGTGCAGGCTGACCTTGAACTTACAGAGATCTTTAGCCTGCCCCGTCATGAGTTCACTGTGAACTCACTTGCATGGTCTAGGCTCCACCCTTACAGATCCCTGTGCTGAAATGGGGTAGGGCCCAAGAATCCAGGTGATTCTGAGATGGGCAGTCCAGAGCCACTTTGGGGAGAGTACACCTGTACCACAGGTACTTGCCTGACTTCGTGACCGAGATGAGAGAGAACGCATTTTACCTGTTAATGATCAGTTTCCTAAATTATACAAATTATAGATGCATTTCTATCTGCAAACAGCTGTGTTCCCAAGAAACAGACTAAGGTACAAGCTATTAATATGTTGGTGAGTTTAGATCTAAACTCCACTTTAGAAGCTGTGCATCTTTTTTGACAAAGTGTAGGGCTCCCATTTTCTTTTTGTTTTTAAGTTTATGGATTATTTTAGTTTTGTTTTGAGATAGTCTCTGTTATAGTCCAGGCTGGCCTCACACTCTAGACTCAGTCTCCCAAATGCTGGGATTACAGGTGCATGCAACTGCACCTAGCTATGTTTGCTGATTTTTTGTTTTTGTATACATATTTCGTTGCCAAAAGTTACATTGGTGGCATTAAAATGGCTAGTAAATGAGGTAGGGCTAGGAGTGTGTAATTCTCATGAATAAGTTGTTTTTCTATATGATCAAATTTTATTAGTTTTTTTTTGTTGTTGTTGTTTTGTTTTGTTTTTTGCTGGTACTGGGGATTGAACTCTGGTCCTTGAGCTTGTGAGGCAGGTGGAGGAACCACTGAGCTAAATCCCCAGCCCCTCAGCTTTTTAATTTAACTTTGAAACAGGGTATAGTTAGCTCACTGATTACCCAGGTTGGGTTTGAACTTGCAGTCCTCCTGCTTCAACCTCCCAGAATGCTTGGGTTGTAGGTATGTACGCTCATACCCCTTTTCTTGTGGTCTTTCTGATTTATGCCTTGTCAGATTTTTCTGCAGAAGTAAGTATTAATTAGGATCTTTGCGCCTTTGGGGGCTAGAGCAGGCAAGGGGTTTTACTTATTTATGTTTCTGTATTTTTCTTCTTCTGTTGGGTTTTCTATAATCAGCAGCAGTTTTGTTGGAATATACAGTATTTTGGATAGTGCATTCAACCCCAAATGAAAAATGGTACAAAACCTTGACTTACTATTTAATTTAGAGTTTCTTTCATTGACAGTACAAAAACAAATATTTTCTTTTTCTAGGTTTCTCAATTTGGGTGCAGGTCATTTGCCTTGCTTTTTGATGATATTGACCATAATATGTGTGCGGCAGACAAAGAGGTATTCAGTTCTTTTGCTCATGCACAGGTCTCCATCACAAATGAAATTTATCAGTACCTAGGAGAGCCAGAAACTTTCCTCTTCTGTCCTACAGGTATTGTATATAATAGCTTAATATTTAACTCATCTTAATGAAGTAGTAACTTATAAATGGTCCTAGGTAGGCCCTTATTAACAACCCCCCATTGGTGCATAAGAATAGGAATCATTTTTCTGGAAGATATTTCTTAAGATCTTACAGGGGAGAAATTAAGGAGCTTGTAAATGATAATAAACTTGGCAAAAGATTCTTGTTTTTTAGTACTGGAAGTATATAAGTATATAAATATGCATCGTCAGGATATTAAAGGAGAAATGCTATTATTGAAATGAAAACTGGTAAAAAAACAAATTTACATTGCTTTTAATTTTGTCACTTATTTCCTCCTCATTCCCTTTTCTGCTCATGCATGTCTGTTCCTTTCTTACTCCTCCCACTCCCATCTGGGCTTTTACTTCCACTAGTCAGTACAGAAAGCTTAATAATTTTTCCTCATTCTATCTTTTTTCCCTTCCCCAGTTTTCTTCCATTGAAAATGTTTGTCTTTTTTAGTAGCCTCTTAAAATTCAACTTAGTTTTCGCCAGACTGTTTTTTGTCAGGAATGGATAAGTTCTTTGAATTTGTAGATGGAGTTATTTAACTCTTTGTGTATGTGTTAGAATTGTGAGCCATGAAGCTTATTTTAATACGTAATCTAGCACTACATAAATACTTAAATAGCGCTTAGTAAGATACTGGGAATTCACTTCAATCATAATTTAAGTTGTAGTTACATACTAATAGCTGTTGTCATGTTCTAGTGTTTGTTCTATCATGATATTATCAAGTCTGTATCTGATTACAAATGAGAAGTATAGGTGACTCAAAATTAGGTACAAAAATACTGAGATTCTAATTGTTAATTTCGTAAACTTGTGTTTCTAGTGACTAGCATCATAAGGATTGATCTGTACTACTGTTGGAGGAAGAATATCAGATTTTATGAATTGATTCTTAAATGAACTACATGCTTAAGTTTATTCTCTTTTAGGTATGATATGGAGGCCTTTTATTATTTTGATGAAAAGAATTTAGAATTCTTAGGCATTTTTTTCCCCCATCCCAAACCCATGATCTCTCCTGACTACTTTTTTTCCCTCTACTTTCAGAATATTGTGGCACTTTCTGTTATCCAAATGTTTCTCAGTCTCCTTATTTAAGGACTGTGGGTGAAAAGCTTTTACCTGGAATTGAGGTGCTTTGGACAGGTAAGCCTTTTAAGACTTATGCAGTGAAATTAACTGGGCCCTAGCAATACTGGTTGGGTTGGGTTTTTTGTTTTTTTGAGACAAGGTCTTGCTGTGTAGTCCAAGCTGACATGGAACTTTAAATATTCCTGCCTTGGCTTCCTTATGCAGGGATTACATATGTATACTATCACCACCACCACACATGGCTGATTGGTTTGATTTGGTTTTGTTTTTGGTATTTTGAGACAAGGTTTCACTATATAGTTCAGGCTGGCTTTGAACTCATTACATAGCCCAGGCTGGCCTCCGACTCATGGTGATCCTCCTTCCTCAGCCTCCCAAGTGTTGGGATTACAGTTATGCCCTACTACATCTGGCTGTTATTAACTGAGTAGATTTTTTGTTTGTTTTTTGTTTTTTGTTTTTTTTTGGTACCGGGGATTGAACTCAGGTCCTTGTTTTGCAAGGCAGGCCACCGAACCGCTGAGCTAAATCCCTGGCCCCTCTGAGTAGTTTTTTAAAAACAAACTTCTTTTTTTCCCTGAGACAAAGCCTCACTATGCAGTTGAGACCACCCTGAAACTCACTGTGTAGTAGCCCAGACTGGTCTTGGAACTCAAGTGATCCTCCTGCCTCAGCCTCCTGAGTGTTGGGATTACAGATGTGTGCCATCACACCTGGCTCGAAAATAAAATTTAAGAAAGTACTACTTTATTTAATAAAGTATATATTTTTCACTTAATATTCACAAAGAATGACCAGAGCAATTTTTTTCTTTTTTGGTTCCGGGCATTGAACTCAGGGGTCCCCAGGCGGCAGAAGCACTGAGCCAAACCCCCAGCCTTCTTTACATAATATTAAAAAAATTTTTGCCAGTTGTGGTGATGCATACCTGTACTGTCAGCATCCTTGAGATTCTGAGGCAGAAGGATTGCAAATTAGAGCCCAGCTTGGGCAATTTATTGACTTACCAAGATCCTGTCTCTATTTAAAAAAGGAGGAAGTCTCGGGTTATAGCTCTTTGTGAGAGTCCTGGGTTCATTTCCTAGTACCACAAGTGAGTTGGGTGACGCACTTGCCCCAGGGTGGTCTTGAACTCATTGGTTTAGGTAATCCTGCCTCAGTCTCCCAAGTAGTCAGGACAATAGGCATGTAGAAAACATGGTGGCACATGCCTGTAACCCCAACACTTGGGAGGCTGAGGCAGGAGGATGACTGAGAGTTCAAGGCCAGCCTGAACTACATAGCAAAGCCCTGTCTCAAAAAACCAAAAGAAAAAGTCTTGAAGGAGCTGGACATGGTGGTGTACCCCTGTGATAGCACTCGGGAGGCTGAGAATGAGGATCACTGAGTTCAAGGTCAGCCTATGCCATACAGTGAATTCAGGGCCAGACTGAACTACATGGCAAGACTGTCTGAAGACAACCTAAGTCTAGAAGGATTTTGTTGTCATTTTTATGGTGTAACTTTCTTTTTTTGGGGAACTGGGGATCGAACTCAGGACCTTATACTTGCCAAGCAAGTGCAGTGCTGCTAAACTACATCCCTGGCTCTTGGAACTTCTATCCTATAGAATGAAAGGGAAAAAAATGTTGCTGTGTTTAAAATGAAAACAGTTGGGCCTGGTGGTGTGACCTCATTGGTAGTGGGCTTGCTTAGTGTACATGAAGCAGTGGGTGTGATCCCAACACTGCAAGAAGAAAAAAGCAAAAAGTTATTAGAAACTAAGGAGAACACAGTAAAAGCTGTGTATCGTTTTTTTTTTTTTTTGGTACTGGGTTCAAACTCAGGATCGTGTGCTTGCCAGGCAGGTGTGGTGCCACTGAGCAAATCCCTGGCCCTTTGTACAGTGTATTTTAAAGCCATCTAGGAGATTTTTAAAACATGTGGTGGTTGTTATTTCTAGGTCCTAAAGTTGTTTCTAAAGAAATTCCAGTAGAGTCTATTGAAGAGGTTTCTAAGATTATTAAGAGAGCTCCAGTAATCTGGGATAACATTCATGCTAATGATTATGATCAGAAGAGACTCTTTCTGGGCCCATACAAAGGAAGATCCACAGAGCTCATTCCCCGGTTAAAAGGAGTGCTGACGAATCCAAACTGTGAATTTGAAGCCAACTATGTCGCTATCCACACTCTTGCCACCTGGTACAAGTCAAACATGAACGGAGTGAGGAAGGATGTGGTGATGAGTGAGTAGCCTGCACTTCATCCTGACTGTGGGAGGAAGGGGAGGTTGGCTGCAGCCATTGGCAATGTACTTCTTTTTCAGCACAGTTCAGGAGACTTCATTATGTGTTGTAGATTTCTGCTAATCAGTTACATGTACAATAAAAGGAAGGCCAAGTAGTCTTGCACAGGTCATTTAGCCTCTTGGTCTTTTTTTTTTTGGTACTGGGGATTGAACTCAGGTCCTTGTGCTTGCAAGGCAGGCGAGGAATCACTGATATAAATCCTCAGCCCTTAAGTTCTTATTTTTATTAGTACATGTTTGTAGTACATAATGATCACATTCACGATAGGGAGTTGGTATATGTAAGTTCTGTTTTCAAAATATGCTTCAATCTTTGAAGGCAGATTGTATAGTATAATCTCTTATGTTCCCATTAGCCTTAAAATCATTCAGTTTTCAGGTGATTTTATCAAATGAGGTAATTTATTTATTTGTTTTATCTAGTTATTGTGGTACTGGGGGGTTGAACTCAGGTCCTTATGGCTTGCAAGGCAGGTAGTGGCAAATGAGATATTTTAGATGACTAGATACTCTTTTTCTTGCTACCAGGATCCAATTCTGTACCTTATGCTTGTGAGTCGGGTGGCTAAATCTTGAGCCCTGATGACTAGATGTTCTTATCTGCGTTATTTCACTTAGGTCCATCTTACCCTTATGAAAAATACTCTTATTTTAGGCATTGGCTTATCAGTGGGTTGCAGGGGGCCCCCCCATTACTGGGGATTGGACTCAGGACCTTGCACTGGCCAGGCAGACATAGGGCCACTGAGCTATATCCCTGGCCCCTTTACTTCCAATTAATAGTTTTAAGTTAAAAAAAAAAATCCTGGATGTTCATTTATATTTAAATAACCCATCTTCGTGGGCAATGAGGATTTGCAAAAAGAATAAAGTCCCTGATTCTGAAAAAACAGTCTTATGTTGAAGAAAACATTTTTAAGTGTTGTAACAGTTACCTACTAATTGCTGTGGAAACAAAAGGCTGTGACCACCTTAATCAAGCACAGCAGTAAGAAATGATTTCACCCGTACTTAACCTGGGTCAAGGTAGGAAGTTTGCTGGGCTGGAGGTGAAGAAAATACTCAACACTGAGATTTTGAAGTTATTTGAATTTTGGCCCACTAGGGATACTGAAATATTGTAACTAACGATACTTGGTGATACGTTGTTGTGATCTGTGTCACCACCCCACACACTGGGGATCAAACTCAGAACTTTGTGCTTGTGAGGCAGGTGCGTTGTGACTGAGCTACATCCCCAGTTGTTGTTTAATTCTGGAGCCTTGCTTCCATTTGTTTATTAAATTAATGTTTGTGTTTATGGCTCACTGTAGTCCTTTTTCCCCCCATAAAAAATAGAACTAGTAATATCTCAGCACCCTTTGTATCCGTGATTCTCTCCCCGCCCCTGTACTGGGGATTGAGCCCTGGGAATGCTGAGTCACAACCTCAGCCCTTTACTAAAGTATCAAGATTGGTGACTCCTCTTGCCTCATTCCTCTGAAGGTCTGGAATTACAGTGTCACAGCTTCTGTTTCTTCTTTTTCTTTGGTGCTAGGGATTGAACTCAAAAGGCAGGCATGGTGCTGCTGAGCTAAATCTCCAGCCTGTTTTTTTATCCTTGAACGTGTTCCTGCTGGCTTGAACCAGCAGTGGCACAGGCATGACTGTCAAATCAGGTAGCTCTTATTAATTTTATTAGTAAAAAGACCAGTGAAAGTGATTAGATGCATTTGTATCACCAGTGAGTGGTACAGGCTGCCTGATGGGACAGCTAGCTGCTCGACAGCAAGATGTATGTTTTGGCCTTGCTGTGAACATGTTAAGATAGTCGGGAGTACCCTACGTAAGGAGTAGCAGATACTAGCCATACTGGGCCGTACGGGGGAATGAAGTAAAGGTAAGACTGGAGAATTTTTGAATACCAAGACAAAAAGTTCCAACTTAATTTTCTCTGCCTGGATCTCCCTAACCTGGCAGAGCATCATTGGTTTATCTGTGCTCACATTAAGGCGCTCTCTCTGTTCACGTTCTGTTTTTTGTACTGCCTTAACCTTGAATTTTCAATAATTGGTATTCAATGAACGTTCATGATCAGCTTTTCCAGTGATTCTAAAATAGTAGTCATTTCAGTTGGAAGTTTACATTTAGCAGTGCATTTAGGGGAGTAACCTGAATGAAGTGGTCAGTGAAGGGTCTTGCTTGTGTTTGCATTTTTATTTGCTCTTGCTCCAGTTCTTCTTGTGGTGGTACTGCAACAGCTAATTTATATCTCACTTGCCAGGAGGCTTTTGTAATGCAGACTGATTTTGCTTTGTTTTTTTCAGCTGACACTGAAGACAGTACTGTATCAATCCAGATAAAGTTAGAAAATGAAGGAAGTGATGAAGATATTGAAACTGATGTACTCTATAGCCCACAGATGGCTCTAAAGCTAGCTTTAACAGAATGGTTGCAGGAATTTGGTGTACCTCATCAATACAGCAGTGAGTTTGGCCATTTTTTTAAGGGGATTAATTGGATCATATTATTGAATCACAAAATAAAAAGCAGTCATGTCTTACCTTGGGCTCCCTAAAAAAAGTGAAGTTAAATGAAATTTAGAAGTCGGGAGAATTAAGGTTTTTTTAAAAATCTTACTTTGCTGTTTTTTGATGATGCCAGGATTGAACCAAGAGTGCTGAGCTATATCCCTTGGCTTTTTCAAATTATGAGACCGGGTCTCACTAATTTGCCTTGTCTGGTCTTAAATTTGTGATCCTTCTGCCTTAGCCTCTGAGTAACTGGGATTACAGGCATGTACCATCAAGCTTGGTGACACGTCTATCTTCTTTTAATAGCTTGTATCTTGATATGTGCTAATTGGAAGTATTTGTTTTAAAATATAAATCTTGCCAGGGGCTGGCACATACCTGTAATTCAAGCACTTGGGAGGCTGAGCCAGGATTGCAGCAAATTCTTACCACCATAGGCTGCATAGGGAGTTTAAGGACAGGATGAGCTATGCAGCAAGACTTTGACTCCAAATAAATAAGTAAATGAAGTAAAATGAAATAGAAATTTTGCCTGGTGTGCTAGTGCACACTTGTAATTCTAGCACTCGGGGAGGCTGAGGCAGGAAGATCACCATGAGTTCGAGGCCAGCCTGAAGTATATAGTGACCCTGTCTGAAAAAACAAACAAAGCTTTGTAAGGAAAGATACTAGATGTCAACATGTTTGAGGATGTTTATTACCTGTTCTTTACCCCTAGTGACCTTTTATCCATGCCTCCCTAGTGGCTTAAAGAAATTTCACTTTTCTCAGGGCTCATAGTATTTAGAATCTCAAATTAAGGCTCTCGTTCCAGATAGCATGACAAGAAGGCATTTTTCTAAATCTTCATTTCTTATTTCTAATTCTGGTTATCTCTTGACTTTCTTTTTGGTAGGTAGACAAGTTGCACACAGTGGAGCTAAAGCAAGTGTAGTTGAAGGGGCTCCCTTAGTTGCAGCACCCTCTTTAAATGCCACAACTGTAGTCACGACAGTGTACCAGGAGCCCATTATGAGCCAGGGAGCAGCTTTGAGTGGTGAACCTACAGCTCTGACCAAGGAAGAAGAAAAGAAGCAGCCAGATGAGGAACCTATGGACATGGTGGTAGAAAAACAAGAAGAAGCAGACCACAAGAATGACAGCCAGATACTCACTGAGATTGTTGAAGCTAAGATGGCGGAGGAATTGAAACCAATGGACACTGATAAAGAGAGCATAGCTGAGTCGAAATCTCCAGAGATGTCAATGCAAGAGGATTGCATTAGTGATATTGCTCCCATGCAGACGGATGAACAAACAAACAAGGAGCAGTTTGTGCCAGGTCCAAATGAAAAACCTTTGTACACTGCAGAACCAGTGACTCTGGAGGATTTGCAGTTACTTGCAGATCTTTTCTATCTTCCCTATGAGCATGGACCCAAAGGAGCACAGATGTTACGGGAATTCCAGTGGCTTCGAGCAAATAGCAGTGTTGTCAGTGTCAATTGCAAAGGAAAAGACTCTGAAAAAGTGAGTACGATTGGTTTGCCCACTTTCCTAGTCTGCAGGTTCCCTGTGCTGGTAACTTGGCACACGCGCATGTAGGCATGCATTCACCGCCGAGCTCCATCCCCGGCCCTGGTGGAGGTTCTTGAATGAGTACAGTGATAACTGGCAGGAAATTGACCCCATTTTGAATATGTGCTCATTAAAGTAGGTGTGGACTGTTATTTGACTTTCTAGCTAGGAATGAAGGAAAGTGTTGGTTATTTTAGGCATTGTCCGTTCGGGGAGACACTTTTATTACTCATGTGGAATTTAAGCCAGTGATGAAATGTTTTGAATGAATTGTGGGTATCTCATAATAAACAGCTTAGTTTACAATTGTTTTACATTACTTTTTTAAGCTTAACAGTATTTTGGGTCTCTTTATTGATCCTTAATAGATTGAAGAATGGCGGTCACGAGCAGCCAAGTTTGAAGAGATGTGTGGATTGGTGATGGGAATGTTCACTCGGCTCTCGAATTGTGCCAACAGGACAATTCTTTATGACATGTACTCCTATGTGTGGGATATCAAGAGTATAATGTCAATGGTGAAGTCTTTTGTGCAGTGGTTAGGTATGTGCACCAGGAATAATCTACTCTTGGATACATTGTATCTTTAAAAAAATTACCCCACAGGGAGAAAATCATTTAGGGAATTGGCAAATTCTAAATGTATTTTCAGTTCTTTGCTTAGGTTTCTTATAAAAGTGGGCATTGTTGAAGACTTGAGACGCAAGTCTTGATAATTGCATTGAGCATATTAATTTTTCTCCCTTGGGCTAATTCTGCATAAATATCTTGAAAATACGTTAGCAAGTACTGACTTTAACTTGCTCTGACTGAATGCTTCCTGGATGGAACACTGTATATTACTTTTGTCTGATTTGGAGATGAGACAACTATGAAACGTGACTCTAGGCTTTCTGCTGCTTGCTGTGTCGTCATAACATTAATGCTGTGTGTAATGGAACAGTCGCTGAAACGACCCAAGGGGCCTGGCAAGAGGAGTCTGTCCTCCCAGCCCTGTGCGCATGCGAGCTTTAGTGGAAGGCTATTCTGGTGCTGCTCGGTATTATTTCACATGGCTTTTTCTTTATCCCTGTGCCAAGTAATTGGTTATAAGCAGAAAGTGGACATTTTAGTCCTCTAAAAGTTCTGCTTTTATTCAGTGGATTTTTCTGTCTACTTTGAAAACAATGACTTTTTTTTTTCCTGGAAATTTTCAAGCTTGGTAAAGAGCACCAGCATGGCCAAGTTTCTTAGGGACCTTCATTTTCAGGTTTTCAATCCAGCTATAAGGAATTAATGTAATGGACTTAACACACAGCAGGCAGCAAAGCTAACTGACATGTCATAGTTTTCATAGTAGTCAAAACACTGATGGGTTTTCACTACCTTAGTTTGAAACAGATGGTCTGAAATACCATGAGCTTAGATTAAGTAGCAATAATCATGAGATTTCTAATTTTCTGCCTGTATACACTTGGGGCTCTTAGATATTAAAAAATAGCTTTTCCTGTGATACACCTAGTTAGCTGCTAAAATAAGTCATTGTTTTGAAAATACAGAACTTCTTTGGATTGCCACATATATTAGTACAACAGGTAGAAGAGAATTTTAATTCTCCTGTAAAGAGGCTCTAGAATATCCATTGTGGGTGAGAGGCATCTTGCCCTTAGGCTGAGAAAAAAAACCCTCCACATTGGTTGTTGGATAACAGCATTTGCCTTCCAGCTTTCTAGCCAAGGAATTGCAGTTAATCCTTATAGGGATTTAAGTCTTAAATTTGTGAGGCTTCTAGAATTTTGAACCTGAAGTCTGAAGTATTGAGCTTGAAACTATATCGCCTAAAACATTGGTTGGTTATTCAACTTTAAAATGAATTATTAAAATTTTTATTCTTGGTTACATATAGTACCTTTTCTCTTAGGCTCTTTATATTATGCAGTTACCGGGTAACTTTCACAGTTTGTATTGATGTACAATTTCCAGGTCAGACCATCATAGATGTTTTAAATAATCATCTTGGCAGTCCATAATGCTGCAAAGCTCACAGCAGGGAGAGTATCTGTACCGTTTTATAGTAATTTCAGGGGTCAATGATTAGAACCCTTTGTTTTCCTCTTCTCTCCAGTCCAGCTGGCATTCAGTCCTTTAAAGAATGTGGCTATGCAGTACCTTTGATTACTAATGACTTCTATTATCTTCTTCCCCATTGTGTACAGATGGGAGAATCCTCAGCACAAGTGTCTACTGCTATTGGATGGACAGCGGCAGATGTTCACAGCGCGTCATGATTAATTAGTTTAAATTGAAAGGTTCTATCTGTGAGGTAGCTCAGGTAGATGTAAGGGCAGTAGGCATGAACTGAAGTCACGTTTGCGCAGCGACTGAGGCATTAACCATGTTTTCATTTACACAGCTCTTCGTATATGCAGCTTTTTATTGTAATAGTTGGAAGTGCTAGTTACGTTGTAGTCTCAAAGTGGGGGGTAGGGAAAATTGGCCACTTTGAAAAGTTTGAGAAGCATAGTTTTTCCTGCAGTGTAAATCACACTGAGTTATGGAATGGGGCAAGTTCTTGTATAGTCTAAATTTTGACCCTATTTCATATTTACTTTACAAATACTGCATTTTGTTTTTTTAAAAACCCTACCCCTAAAATATGACAAACCCAAATATAGTGTCTTAATGGGCCTGAATTGTTAACCAAAACTTGGTTTGCTTTGGGACTGTCTGACTAGCACACTGTATCTATACTGATGAGACTGTTAACTTGAACAGGAGGTAGAATGCTGTCTTCCAATGGAAAAGAACTATATTGCGCTGCTTCATCTTGTCAGAAGACTAGGCAGGTGGTTTTCATTTGGCATCCAAACATTTTCTTTAGTTATTTCTTAGTTGTTAGCTCTTTTGTCTTTGAGGTTGGTAAAGTGATGACCATGAATGCCGACTTCCGGGGCCTCAAAGCTTGCCATTCCATGCATGTGTTCAGTGCATCAAAGATGATAATGGCTGATCAGAAGGACCAGATACTGGTATACTTTAAGGAAAGTACGTTTTAGTTCTGGGCAAATTAGGACCATTAATTGCTTCCTTAGTTTACAGAAACGTCAGACTGATAATTATAACTAACCAGTCTGAAGTGTCCTTGTCTAAAAACATAATGTTCTCATTGTGTTTTGTTTTATCAACAATTTCTTTTATTTATTCTGCTGATCTTAGTTTTCTGACAAGATTCCCTCCCCCTTTTCCCTTTCCTGTACCCTTCCTCAAAATGTAAAATGTGACTTCAGACAGGTTTAATTCCTTCATGGGCTGTGATAATAAAATGTTTCACCTATATCATTCATTTTAGTTTATTATAATTTCGCGATAGAGCAAGAAACTGACTTGGTATAGCTGTCTAGGAAATACATGAATTTGACCCAGACTTGGGATAAAAGTATACAACTGGTAATAGTTTTCATTAACTAGACGAATTTATATCAGTATTAAAATGCCATTATAAATTTGTAAAAATAATTATTATCACAGCCTTGCCCTGAAACCCTGGATTATTACTGTTAGAGAGCTATTTCCACAAAGTGTTTGTTAGTGTGTTGGACATTTGAGACCCCAGGAAATCCCCTTTCTCGTAACGTTCTCCGCTTGGATCTGATCTCAACAGGGTGTCGTAGTCATTCTTCAGCACAGTTCTTAATTGGAGACCAAGAACCCTGGGCCTTTAGAGGTGGTCTAGCAGGAGAGTTCCAGGTATCAATATGAATTCACAACTGAATTGACATTTTCTTTGTTTTATGAGAACCCTTATGTTGCGCATCAGATGGCTGGAAGGATTGGTCTGCCGAAGGCTTTCTGGTCCCAAATTCAATTTAGTTACATAGCTGGATTTTAAATCAAATTTTCCTCCTCTTTCACAGTAATTTCTGAAGGAGATGCTGCCAATGCCCCCCCGCGCCTGCGAAGCGCAGCGGCTCTAGGTGTACACTTCACATTGTTTCTTTGCAGGTCGCACAGCATTTTAATCTGCGCCCGCAATGCACAATGCGCGCATGCTTGTCTGCCAGTGGGAACTCCATGAGCAAAATAGGATGACTGATTATGCAAGTGAATAGTGAAAAGGCTTTGGGTGTTTCTCCAGTTATTTTGTAAATACGCTGGGCTTGAAAGAGTAGTTCGTTGTTGAAAACTGGAACAAAATAGGAAATTTTTATTGTTACAATTTGTTCATGGACTTCTCAGGTGCTCTACTTTTCTCCCCCCAACAGGTGCTCTGCTGCGCACAGCAAACTGAAGCGCATTGCTTTGGGGATAAAGCGTCTCCTGGACAGATAACCCTCTTCAGACCAAACCTCTCCTCCTGACAGTCTGTTCTGCCATCTTTTAGTAGAAAGATGGTCTAGTTAAGATTGGTTTTTAAAACAAACAAAAAATTGTCATCACTGGATTAGTTTTTGTTACTGTTATTATTATAAGTTTAAATTCCCATTAATATGCCAGTAAAGCTGTGTAACTCAGTTTGGGCAATTTCTATTCAGAAGCACTCCCCTCCCCCAGCAAAGAGGTGTTTATATTAGTAAAGCATAGTGCAACCCTCTTCTTTAGGTCTGCCTGCAGTAGCCAGTTAATGTTAAGTTGGTAATCTGCAGTGCACTCATTTAAAGAAATAAATATCTTCCTGATACTAATCCATCTCCTTTTTTTCCCTCACAGCGTTTGCTGCCAATTGATGGGGCAAATGATCTCTTTTTTCAACCACCCCCACTGACTCCTACCTCGAAAGTTTATACTATCAGACCGTATTTTCCTAAAGATGAGGTAATTGTCTTATCAGTTTGGTAAAATGGTTATGTTTTAAAACTCACTGGTTAAAGAATTTCGTGTCTTAAAATATCTTCATTTTTATGGGTTTTTTTGTAGTGCCTAGTGATCCACTCTAACCAAGCACTTAAAACTGAGGTACACCCCCTTCAAATACCAATTTTAAGCCAGTGTGGTGGCATATGTGTGTAATCACAGCACTCTGGAAGGCTGAGGCAGGGGGATTTAGTTGGAGCCTAGCCAGGGCAGTTTAGTACAATGGCAAGACTTTGTCTTTAAATAAAAAACAAAAGAGCTGTGAGATGTAGTTTAGTTGAAAGACCCAGGATTCAGTCCTCAGTACTGAAAACAACCCAACTTCAACTAGGAGGAGGAAGCATGGACAGAAGTTTGAGGAAGAATTTAAGGACTTTAGTTGGGTGTGGTACTGCACCTGCTGGTGATCCCAGCATTTGGGAATTTGAGGCAGGAAGATCATTGTGAGTTTGAGCAAAGCCTAGGCTACAAATACATTCAACACCAGCCTGAATACAAAGCCAGACTCAGTCAACCACCCAACCAAACAAAAAACAGATTGGTTGGTTTTTTAATCCTCATTTTATTACCAGAAACTGCCCTGCAGAATAGTATGAAGTATTATATGACTTCATACAACATGACTCATACAGTATGACTCAGTGAATAAATCTTTAGATGTACTATTTCTGGCAGGCCTTTTGTTATTCCCTCCCCAGACTTACTTTGATGCTGTTGATATTTTCTGTTGCCCCCCCCCCACCTTTTCTTTTTGGTTTTTTGAGAACAGGGTCTCACTATGTCACTGAGACTGACCTGGAACTCCCTATGTATGTAGCCCAGGCTGGTCTCGAACTTACAGCGATCCTCCTGCCTCAGCCTCCTGAGTGCTGGGATTACAGGCGTACGCCACCACTGCCGGCTTTGTTGCCATTTTTTTGATGTGATGCATAACTCTTAAATGTGTAGTGTATAAAATAATATATAAAAATATAATCTGTTGTGTTTTCAGGCTTCTGTGTACAAGATTTGCAGAGAGATGTATGATGATGGAGTGGGTTTACCTTTTCAAAGTCAGCCTGACCTAATTGGAGACAAGTATGTGATTGCTATTTGGATTTGGGAGCAGATGTTTCATAGCAAGGCTTTATCAGGTTGAGGGGAAGAGACAACTGCAAGGAAATATTTTTTTAACATTCTGTTTTAGTAAAATCTCAAAATTTATACGTATGCATTTCTAGCTGCTTTCACAACAAATGTTTCCTTAAGTTATTCAAGTACATTGGACCGTGTATCACTGAATCATGAATTTTGTGTTAGTAGAAAGCTCACTGTCCCTTTCCCTTCTGAGCAGGTTGGTAGGAGGGCTCCTTTCCCTCAGCCTAGATTACTGCTTTGTCCTTGAAGATGAAGATGGCATATGTGGCTATGCTCTGGGCACTGTAGATGTGACACCCTTCATTAAAAAATGCAAAATATCCTGGATTCCCTTCATGCAGGAGAAGTACACGAAGCCAAATGGTGACAAAGAACTCTCAGAGGCCGAGGTACAATTTTTTAAAAACTGCTTATTAAAATATAACAATAAACATGTATCATAAAATTTTAGTGGTTAATTTCTTACCGAGGAGAATTCTTAGAGCTTCTCCTTTTCTTTTCTGGGTGTTTTTTGGTTTGGTTTGGTTTGGTTTTTAAAATTTCCTTCCTGGGCCCAGGGATTTAGCTCAGTGGTTTTGCTGCCTGCCTTGCAAGCGCAAGGGCCTGAGTTCGATCCCTGGTACCAAACAAACACAAATTTTCCTTCCTGTAGGTTTGCCATACATGATTGTATTCATCATGTGGAATTGGTACATGTACACAACACATCTTAATTTTTTTTTATTCTCCTTCCCCCTTCCCTCATCTCTAGATCCCCTTCCCATGTGCAAAAGCTATATCTTTGTTTCCTATTATCTGTTATTTTGCTTTTTAATTTATATATACTTTAGGTTCCTCATATAAGAGAAACCATTCGATATTTAAGCTTGTGTGTCTTGATTTATTTCCCTTATTATGGTCTCAAGGTACATCAGTTTTCCCAGCCTGGTGTAGTGGCACAGGCCTGTAATCCCAGCACTCAGGAGGCTGAGGTAGGAGGATTGCCATGAGTTTGAAAACAGCCTGGCCTATATAGTTCAAGGCCAGCCTAAACTAGAGTGAGACCCTGTTTTTAAAAAGCAAAAGATAAGCTGGGCGCGGTGGCACATACCTGTAATCCCAGCACTTGGGAGACTGAGGCAGGAGGATCTCTGTGAGTTCAAGACCAGCCTGGACTACATAGTGAGTTCCAGGTCAGTCTCAACTACATAGTGAGACCCTGTCTCAAACAAACAAAACAAAACAAAACAAGATATATCGGTTTTCCTACAGATGATTTACTTATCCTTTATAGTAGACCAGTATTCCTTTGTGTATAAACACATATTCTGTATTCATGTATCTATTGTTGGACATAGAGGCCACTTCCAAGATTTAGTTATTATGAGTTTTGCTGCTATAATGTGAGTATGTGTGTATCATCTTTATTTTTTAAAAATTTTATTTCAACAGGATGCTTTTGGTTTATGCTGATTTTTGTTGTTTTTGGTACTGGGGATCAAACTCTGTACTTTGCGCTTGTGAGGCAGGTGGCCCTTAAACAGGGTGCTATTAGAAAATTATCTGGGAGTTTGGCTCAGTGGTTCCACTGCCTGCCTCGCAAGTGCAAGGTCCTGAGTTTGATCCCGGTACCAAAAAAATAAAACTACCTACCTGGGATTTTTATTTATTTATTTTTAAAAATTTGTCTCTTATTTAAAGACAGTATATGTAACAGTTATGGACAAAAGAGTTATAGAATTGGTCTTGGTTTAAAATGATAGAGGGCTAGGGTTTTAGCTCAGTGGTGCCGCCTCCTGCCTTGAAAGTGTGAGGACCAGAGTTCAATTCCCGGTACCAAAAAAAAAAAAAAAA